GATATCATCTGTATGAGGTCTCCATGAAACGCCAAGTACTCTCGGATATCGGTTCTTCATGCGATCGTCTGGCTTGATACTGGAGTTGAATGTCTCATCATTTGACGTGAATTCCCTCAAGTTCATGTTTAATCCTTCGAATATTCTTTTTGAGATTTGGTACTTGTGTATCGCTTCTTCTGATGATAATGCTCCAAAGAGCAAATTATCTACGTACAGATTCTGACGTATCTCTTCAGTCATCTCGTTCGGGCTTGTTGAATGTTGGAGGTGAAAATCAATAGTTGCTGCCAGAAGAAAAGGTGACGTATTCAGTCCGAATGTGACTCTCGTGAATCTGTAGGTTATTATGTTGTCGGGTGTTGGCGGACGCGCAATATCTCTAACCCACATACATCGAGTAGCATCTCTGTCGGCTTCTTGGAGTCTTACTTGTAAAAAGGCTTTCTCGACGTCCGAAATCACGGCGATGTTGGGAAGACGAAAACGTAGTAAGATGCCCACCATGTCTGGTAAAAGCAATGGACCTTGGTGTAAAACGTCGTTTAATGATGGTTGATCTTTGTAGTAAGCCGAGGCGTCGAAGACAATTCGCAGCTTTGTAGTTTCTTTCCCTGGTGTAAACACTGCCTGATGCGGAAGATAGTGTACGATGCTGGTGCTGGGAGTCGATTGCTCTAGTACTTCTTCGATGATTCCTTTTGCTGCTTGCTCTTTGAAAATGTTGTCGTAGTCAATCAAAATATCAACATTTTCGGAGTACATTTCCAGTACTTTGTGAAGTCTCTTCATCGCTATTGCTTTATTGTCCGGTAGCTTGGGATGATTGTTCTTCCAAGGAAGTCTCACATAATAGCCGTCTTCTCGATGTTGGATGGTATTTCTGAAGTTTTCAAGAACTTGGTTGTTTATTAGTTGTTGCTCATTCTGTAATGTGCCTGTGAATTCATCTGTTCCAGTGTTTTCTAAGGCCCAATAACGATCCCACATCTCCTTTTCAGTGACTGAGCTTCGGATCGTTAATACTGTTGGTGATTTGGACGTTTCACTTGCTTGACGACCACTGATTATGTATCCAAATTTAGTGGGGATCAGTAGGAGTCCGGAAGGTAAGCTGAGACGTCCTATTGGGAGTATGAAGTTCCAAACATAGTCACATCCAAGTAATATCTGTGGTTGCAAAGGCTTGCCTTTGACTGGCAGTGAAAGAGGTATTTCCTGAGTTGTTATGAATTCCATATCCTTGTCATCTAGATCTGCTTGTTCGATACATCCTGTAATGAAGTTATTGCGGTGTAGACGAATCTGATGTTCTACTCCTTCTGTGTCGCGTAGTTTCAAATTTGTGATGTCACATTTCTTTGCTATAGGAGTAGGCGATCCAAAAGTATTGATCATCAAAGAAGTTGATCCCATACTAGGTAGTTCAAGATCATTAGCTAACTGGTCGCTTATGAACGAGAGATCTGAGCCTGTGTCCAAAAGTACTATGGCTTCGTGCATCTTTCCTCTCGAATCGAACACTTTTGTAGATCCAGCCAGAAGAATTACCTTGTTACGTTGAAAGGTGTTCGTTTCGTCACACCATTTGTTCGTTTGCAATACAACTGCTTCATTATTGACGGTGAGTTGGTTTGTGGTTTGTTTTTCTTCTTCGTTATGGTTTTCTTCTTCGATCTCTTCCGACGTGATGACGTGTTGGTTGGTATTCCTCGTTCCTTTCATCGGTCTTTGGGTTGATGTTTTTATTGCTGGCATTTTTGCTCTTTGATGTTCGTGAGTCTCCTTGGGTGGACGCTGCGGTCCTTGTTTGGATGGCGCTTGTGAATTCTCGCTGCAAATTGCTGTATGATGTTTTTGTTGACAGTTGCGGCAGTTGCCTCTTGTGCATGACGCAGCTCGATGTCCTATACGTCCGCAGTTCAAGCATCTTTTTGTTGAAGTGAGAAAGTTTCTTTTAGCAGACGGGCTTGAAATCTTCATACAAGTGTTCCATTTGTGTCCTCTTTGTCTACAGTACTCACAATTGCCATCTGATTTGTCGTGTTCTCTAATGCGCTCCTTGACATCAATGTCTGAATACATCATATCTCTGAGTTTTTCTTCTTGTGCAAGGACTTTATCTACAGCGTTCAACCATTTTTCAAGGCTCCAATTGTTGTCGTCTTGTTCATCCATCTGTAAGTTCATCTCCATAGTTGCTTTTTGTATGCGTCCGTGAAATTTCTGTAGAAATGTTTGGATCGTTAGTCGACTGTCCAAGTGTTCCCCATGTTCTCGCAATTGTGAAGCAATCGCTAAGAGTCGATCCAGTAGCTTTCTTTGTTCGGCAGTAGTTGATCCTTTTGCAGCACTATTGTTGAGACTTTTGTTCAGCTCTCGGATGATGCTGTCCTTGTCGCCATAACGTTTTTGTAAATATTGCACGGCCTTTTCGTAGTTGCTTGCTGTAACGTGAAATCTGGAAACTGATTCCTTTGCTTCTCCACTCAAAGAAGATAGAAGGTAGTTGAATTTCTGCAGATTCGTTAATTCTTGGTCATGCACGTTTGCTTTAAACAACGTCCAAAAGTTGTCCCAGTTCCATCTTTTTCCGCTAAAGATGGGAATTGGTAATACAGGAAGTTTGTTCAATGCAAGAGTTGTCGGGTTCGCCTCTGAATGTCGGTCTATTCCGATTGACCTTTCATTGTCGTTTTCTGCCGTATAGTCGTACAGAACGCGCCTCAATTTTGACTTGTGATCGTGAAGGTTCATGATAACTTCTTGAGCTGCATCAGTGTACTTGCTGAGTTGTTCGTCATCTTCGACCGAGTGATCTTCGTATTCATCGTAGGCGTTTGCTAGTTTTGCCATCGAAGTTTCCAAAAGAGTGATGTGTTCGTCGCATTCTTTCAGTGCTACGTATGCATCATGAATGCGTTCTTTTCTGGCTGACTCTGAATCGCAAGGATTGGATAAAAGAGCGCTATTTTCTTTCAACCAAGTAGATATCGCTTGCGTGCGTTTTGTGACGAGGCCCTTGAAGGTTCTTACTGTAGCTGCCATCTTTACGTAACAAAGTGACAAGCTATGTTAATCAGTACCTTCTTCCTCTTTCTGTTCGTGTTTTCTGGCTCTTGTTTGTTGCTGTTGTTGTTGTTTTGCGTTCTCGAGACCCGCTGCTCTTCGGTTGGCCGATGCACCAGTTGTTTTGGTTCAGTGGTTGCGGTGGTCTCGCATTACCTCAAACTTGGGTAATTAAACTTTATCTTTGGATCTTTAAATAACATGAACATGAACATGATAACAACAAGCTAAACTACACTGAACTACTATACTAAAGGATAAAAGAAAAGAATACTGAATTTGCTCTTGGCTAAGCCACTTTTATATAACAATATATGTTTGGGTATGTGCTTGAAGGAATAGGCGATGACTAAGCTCAAGTGACAAATGCATGTTTTGTCTTCGAAACCAATCAAAAGTATCAACATACGACTTTTACAAGGTGAATAATGTTAAGAAAATGAAAGGCGTTTGCAAATTCAGTATAGGGGTGAAGAGGGGGTGAGAAAAGTCTCACACTATCGCACCTGTGGTACCACTCACTTTTACTGTGATATCTCTCCTTTCACCTGCAGCTACGTAAAGTTTAGTTTGCGGTGCGACGGTACGTGGACATTTCTGTGGACCTTTTCTTCTAGAGTGACCTTCATGCTGGAATGCAAATTCGAAGGCTTATCTATCATCAGAAACAAGGACATAGACTTTCCCTGCATGTTATGACTTTGTGCAAAGTCTGAGAACTTGGAATCTCGAAAAAAATGAAAATTTCTTGAGCGCCTGTCACAATTTCTAACAGGTAAACTGTAAGTAGACCATATACTGAAAAATGTGAAAGAGTTGCATGAACTTGCATAGCAGATCTGCATTTAGCAAGAATGCGACAGACTAACCGTAAAAGATATTCCCTGAGACAGAGCCAAGCAGTGTACGGATAATTCTAGCATCAATCAATCCCGGAAACACGGAAATAATTCAAGAGACACCACATAAGGGTACTGAGGCCGAATCTCAATCAAAAAAAACACTACATCAATAGTCAACGATGTCTCAGCAAGTCGAAAAGAGCCAAGCACTAAAAGTGACTAAGTGCATCCGCACAAAAACCTAAAACCTGAAACCTGAAAGAAGTAGATGAACAAATAAACGCCAGCGCGCCGACGAGGAACACGAAAAACCAAAAAAGAAAAAGAAAAACGAGCGCGAAAGAACGACAAAAAACGAGTAAGACGAGAGCGACGGCAACTTATTTTCGAAAGTGCTAAGCTGCGTATCACAGCAATTGACTGCGCACATATATGTGCGCCGGACCCCTCCCAGTTTGTGCGCCGGACCCCTCCCATTTTGTGCGCCGATTTTCTGTGCCGGAGGCCTCCCATTTTCTGTCCCGGACCCCTAAGATTTTCTGTCCCGGACCCCTAAGAATTTCTGTCCCGGACCCCTCCGATTTTCTGCTCCGCGGTTCTTCCAAATCTGGCGGACTCGCGGCGGGCAAATCTCTGCGCCGCGACTCCAGCAAATCTGGCGTACTTGCGGCGGAGAGATTTGCAAGCCCGCCGGAGGGGTCCGATCTGCCTTCTTTGTGACGTCACAAGAAGGCAGATCGGACCCCTCCGGCGGGCTTGCAAATCTGCCTTCTTTGTGACGTCACATCACGTCACGTCGTCGCCCCCTCGCCCCGCTCTCATTGGTCAACTGGGTCCGCCGCGGCTTTGGCAGATTTCGACTGTCCGCCGGAGGGGTCCGATCGACTGTCTGAGATTATTTGTAAACTGTAAATATCACGGTTTACCATCCAGGTATGAGCTGCCTTAAACTGCTGAAAACGGAATTGCTCACCATTTTATAAGGACACTCTGTTAGGGATTTTTGCAAAACAGTGAGCAGTAATCGCTTATGACGGCAAACATTGTTTATGATGATATTGTTAAGAAACAAGAAACTCATTGAAAAACCTCGTTTGAGTGGATTTTTGCTGTCGGAGGAGCTCCGATGACGGCGACGATCTCGACGTAGAGCAGCAATTGGCATCAGAACTTCCTTTGCCAATTCTCCGGCACTGGATTTTAAAGATTTATTTAAAAGTCGCCATCCTGGCGGTGCTGGGTCGTCCTAAACGCAAGACTAGGCTTCTTGTTGTTGGACTCATGTCTTCAATACAAAAAGTCGTAACTCTGTTGACCTTCACCGAGCTCAAAAAAAGCAGAACTTGAGGATTTACTGGGACACAGCCCGGATTACGAACATCAAAATTATGATGCAGGTGGTGATATGGATAGGTGAGACATAGCTTGATAGAATATGCCAAAGGCATTATGAAAAAATTACAGCTATCGTTTTCTGAAAAGATGATTTTTGTAAGAATTTGTAAGCGACAGTGTTTTTTTACACCGGTTCATAGGGACGTATGAGTAGTAAACAGAATGATGAAGTTTATGAAACACTGATACTCTACCTACAACTTGCGCAGAGATCCGCGCACAAAAATTTAATTTACTCACCATAGAATATTTCAAGAAAATCAGCGCTTGTGTGAGCTAACAAGGAATAGCGTTTTGTAATGGGTGCAAAAGTAGTTAGGGTTCCTTTATACTACGCCGCAGGACGCAGCAGCCTGCCGCAGCACGCGTCCTGCGGCGTGCGCCGCTGAAGTTGCATGAAAATATACGCTCACGGCAGCAGGGCTTCGCCTGTCATGGATTTACACCTATATTTGCTGCAAGTTCGTGTTCTCCGAGAGGTTCCTTTACAGCGAGCGAACTTATATTTTCACTGCGACGTGCCCCGCAGCACGCCGCGTCCTGCAGCGTAGTATGAAGGAACCCTTGGCTGACTCACCTTTGAAATAAAATCATCATGTAATAATCATGTTCGAGAACGAGCTTCACTTAGCTCAATATTTGGAACCTCAGAACTCGCTAAAACTTATTATTAGTCCACAAGGGATTTTTGACATATTACGTGATTGTACTCATAATGCCGGTAGGACACCTTCATTATGCGCAGGGTTGAGCTTGGGGTCAGGCGCGCCCAACCTTGTGGGTCTTATTGGGGGGTAAGACTGATTGGAGAGGTCGCAATTAAGATGAATTTGTTAACAAAATGGAGGGGGAGCACTAGACCAGTGAATATCATTCCAGCGGAGAGGGAATGACTGTCATTAATTGTATATTGATTAACTCCACTAAGGAAGTTTCTGCCAACGTTAAGGTCACCAAATAGGCTTGCTGTGTGACTTGGGTAAGATTTCCATGATCAACATGTCAAATTACCTATATGACCTCTATAAACCACCATCTATCACATTTTCTAGTGTTTCCTAACGTCTATGAAGCGTGATTTTCAAACATGATTAACGTCACAAAGGAAGAAGTTTGCTTTCTTGTGCTCAAAACAAAGTAATAATCTTCATCGGTCTATGGTAGAAAGGAGATCTCCTACTGCTTTCAAGAAGTGGAACAAGAAATGCTGCCGAAATTTCAATTACCGCGCATTCCATCTTGAGCGCTTCAACTCCACCGATCATCACAAAGTCCAAGTAAGCTCGAATACCTACTACAAAATCTGTGCAGTTTGTGCTTACAAGGAAAGCATACTTGGTGACCGTGGTCTTGAAATAAAACGTACACCATTGAATGCATCTTGAAGCGCTGATTCCAAATTTGTCTTCATTATCTGCTGTGCGCTCTTCCGAAAGAAGTTATGAGCATTTCTCGTCACCAAAATTTGCACTGTTTTTAATGCAGGATTCGCCAATATCGCTAGAATGTTCGCTTGCGCACTACAAAAGAGCGTACAGATAAAGTAAAGCTTCACGTTAAGCCCAGGAAGACTGTCATCGAGACATCAGAGCCGAAAAAACCTAGATACTGAAGATTTTGGCTGCTTAAATCTCGCAAATTCAATATGTAAAAAATTCCATGATTTCGTTAGGGAGTCGCACAGCAGATAATGAACATGGACTTAGAATCAGCGTTCCAAGACTTACCTACTGGTATACATCTCAGTGCAAAAGCCCACGGTCACCAAGTATCCTTCCCTCGTTAGAATCACATAAAACTAGGGCGGAAAAGATTCTTCAGTGATAAAGTTAACTGGGTCAGGCGCAACTCCTTAAAAACTCAGGCCGCCTGAGCTTTTGTAGTCTTGCGCCTGACCCCCTTAACATGTCTTCAAAATCCAGAAATCGCTCCATTTTTATAATAGTATGAGTATTGAGCTCATAACTTCTTCTTGCTACACTGACAATTTGGAGCCGAACGCCCCAACCCTAGAAAAATTATAGTTCTTTCAACAGCCCCATTCAGATTGAAATCAGCCCTCAAATTACGTGATTGTAGTTGAGTCACAGAAAATGGGGCGTACAGATTCCAAAATCCAAAACTATTAAGAAAAGGATGGTGTCCTCCAGAATGTCGCTTTCTGAGGTTTCGGAGGTGAAAACGAGGAAAAAGGGGGTCGTTTGGGGCTCTCAAAGAGAGAGGGGGTGGTCGTTTTCGAAAGACTTGTGCCTGACCTCTTCCTCAACTCTGATTATGCCTACCGTATATACAATGGCGAATCTATACTTAAGTGTGCTTATCTTTCGCATAATGGGCTTAACTGACATTGTCAACGAATATCATGTTATCGCTCAAATTATCACCTCGATTACGACCCCCCCCCCCCTTCCCTCTTTGACCGCTCAATACGACTTCGCAGGTGTGGCTTGCTACCCCCGCTTGACCCTGGTTATAGCATAGAAAACTGACCAGTACAACTATTGCACTTGTTTCAATATGGTCATAATTACTGCTTATCGCATCGCCCATCCAAACTAAGACACCGGATCGGCAGGCACCGAGGTGATACACCTGCACTCGATCACCTAGAATTAAACAAACGCCTTGAAAAGCATTAGTTGCAAAAACGGAGCAAGAGTAGTGTAGAATTGGCTCAAAATGCGAAGTACCATACCTATGGTGAATGGATTAATCATGTAATCTTCAACATGTACAGGTGGCGGTGGAACTGGAGGTGGTGACATTTTACTGCGTGATTCTGCCATTTTCTAGAAGATGGGAGATTGCATTGACGTTATAGGGACGGCAGCGACTCACCATAACAGGTGGAGGCGGGACTGGAGGTGGTGTCAGTTTGGAGTGGTGATTAAAACTCTTCTGGAAATAATTCATTCAATCGATTGATGATATACATATAAAAGACCCACAACTACAGGTGGTGGTGGAACTGGAGGTGGTGCCACTTTACGTGATTCCCTTGATATCTACAAAGGTGATTGTGTGGAGTTCATGACAGACACAAGATATTAGGTCAACAGCTGATGATTACTGATTTCATAATTTTTCCGTTCTGATTGTCGTGAACTTGTTGTCCAGCACTGTATAGGAGGTTACAATATGAGCTATATGCAATGTTTTTAATATAAGAGCAGAAAAATTAAAAATGAGCATTTTCCGAAAGTTTTAAGTGGGTCAAGAGCAAGAACGAACCATTTGCAACATTAAAAGATACCATGTTGACTCTACACTCTACATAGGTTGTTTATCAAGTTCACATTTTGTCATTTTTTTTTCTCATGAGGAAAGCTACCTAACTTAGCTCGGCCTTATGGCAAGGGGTATATATGATCTGAATCAGCTTCAAACGCTGATTTCAAATATGGTATTCCTAGCTGCCGCGCACCATTACAAAGCGCGTTATGGGCTTTTTTTTGCGCAAAACTGGCATTCTGCTGAACATGGAAAGACTGCCTGTAGATAGAAATCTGCAAGAGAAAGGTGCTGGTATATCGAATTAACGCAAATCCAATTTTTTCTCGCTAAAAAGAAGCTTAACGCAAGTGTGCTAGCACTTAGATAATGATGTCGTGATGTCAGGTGAGTCAATGAGTGTGCCATTTTAGGGCAGGAAATAGTCCATAACTCGCTTCGAAATGGTGCTCGGCAGCTAGGAATAGCATATTTGGAGTCAGCGTTTGAAGCTGATTCAGAATGTATATGACCCTTGCCAAATGGCCGAGCTATGTTAGGTAGCTTCCCATGTCAGTATCTTGAATTGTATCTGATTTGTGCATATGCTTTTGATTCCTCCAAATCTGCCTAGTTCATTATTTACATAGTTCACTAGAAGTTCGAGGGAAACCCCAGTTTCACAATAAAAAAGGCAAGAAATCCTTTTCTTACATCTATCTTTTTGTGATTCTCGTTTTTTTTTCAATGGAAACTATTAAACAAATGTGAGAACAAACAAAACAACAGCTCACTTGTTCTCCCAGTACAATCACTGAGTATGCTTACTCTCTTCTTTTCGCGGTCGCCCAACGCCATTTCAAAGGTTAGGGAAGGAAGGGGGGAGGGCAAATTTCTTGTGACCATTTGTCCTCTCGGAGTACTTAGAGGCACCGTCCACCCTAAGTTGAGGGTGTTAAGCTTTGGCCGCATATAATAGTAGGGCCTCCTATCAATCCAATGCGTAAGTCGTCGCAGCGCAAAATGCCGCTTCGGAAGCGAGAAAATCACTTCGGAATAGCAAAGATGCACGAGGACCCCCATCCATGCCCGCCCATTTGCGCGCGCCCATCCAATTACCGTTGCGGAAAGGCGGCCTTTGGGTTCTCAGAACGGGGATTGTCGATGTTTTCGCGCATTCTCGACTTCATATTCGGATTCAGGGACATGAGAAGGCCCTGAAACGAAAAAAACTCGGAAGTCGAAAATCTAGATGGATGGCGCCGCTAAGTTGTGTGCCCACGCAGATTTCGAATCTATCAATCCATAACGCATAAATTCGATAATCTTGCGACCACCCGCCTTCCTGCCAATCCTTGAACATCGGTTGACTGACTATCCTCTCTCAGAAGTGCTCTTTGGATGCCCAATGTCGACTTTGAACAGACGCCATGAAACCAACAACAAGTGAGCTACATTGTCCATTCAGGCTGCAAATTGTTGGAGCTGTTAATAATTTTGAAAGGTTTGAAGAACCATTGTTTCTAAGGTTCTTAGTAAAGTCCTGCACTCTTTATTTTTGCCGAAATAGAAACACTGTGAATAAAAGGAGATCTCCTGAACTGGTTTAGGTCCAGGAAAAATGGTATATGACTGTGAGGACTGATGATAGTTTTTTCCAAGAGACTCCCATGCACTAGCGGAATGTCACAGGGTGAGATTTTGTCACTGTTGCCATCTGTGTGTACACAGCAGACATTGTCAGCTGCAAAACTTTCGTAACGCAAGCGTTCGATCATATGCATACGATAGATCTACATATGGAGATTACAGAAACGAGGGTCAAACCAATGCATATGATGACCTTGAAACTGCGCTTAAGTGCATCTTTGATTGAGCCATAAACAACGATTTATCAAATGTTGACTTCTCTTTATGCATTTAAGGAGTGCAGATATACTCAAGTATACAGTAAACAACACTGCTCTCAAGAAATCTGAGATTGTGAGGGATCCGAGAGTTGGGGTCGATTTCACGTTGAATTTTGAAGATCACATTGATAAAGCCGTCAATAAAGCTTACAGAGCTCTGTTTGCATTGTTTCGTCATACGCAATTAATTACGCCATATACAAAATTACGAATGCGACAGTCTTAGTCAGGTTATGTGAGACCTACACTGCACTTGAAATACTGTCATCGAGTATGGAGCCACACGCTGAAAGAAGTCAAAAAACTAGAGGAAGCTAGAGGAAATACAGTAGACATTTATTAGACTAATGTGTGTTAGTAGGTGAGTAAGCCGACCGAGGTTAGTAGATCTTTATTAGTGGCGGCCTAACGTTTCGAACAAGTCGTCTTCTTCAGAGGCCTAAAGTGGTAGGAGATTTACGATTATGTGTCTAACCCACCAAAATCCTCCACCAGCCCTGACCAGCCTCGATTTTGCCCCAGAATATCACAAGAAAAAGTCCCAAACGTAAAAGACGAACTGACCTCCTCCACCGTCGGCGCGCGGATGTTAGGGCGGCCGTCCTTCGATGACACTAGTATCAATAATGGAATACATTTACACCATATTTGGACTAATCACTAGTGGCCTCCAACTCGCATAACGTCACAAAAGGCATAAAGTCATTCGTAATCGACATAGAACTCATTTCGGCTGTCCATACTTGGGTTTCTCGCATAAATCCAGAATGCCTCGAGAGCTTTTCTTACAGCAGTGTCGTACTCGTATGCCAGTATAGTACATCTGACTTTGAAGTCATTACCACCGTGACATTCAACCCTATGTTTACCAAGAGGAGTGGTAAGACTTCCCTTCTTCTTGGTGGCAAGATGTTCTTTTACTCTTATACCCAACGGTCTCCCAGTCTCTCCAATATAGGTGGCGCTGCATTCAATGCATTTGATCTCATGAATTACACCAGCTTTACCGCAGTCGCCAACCGGTGGACAAACTACGCAGCCTTGGACCCTGCAGTAGTTGTCATATAGTATATTACGTACTAGTCGCTTCTTGATGTTGTCACTTGGAATGTCAATTAAAATGACATCGTCCTTCAAATTCGCGCGGTTAATGCAACGTCGCACTGCGGCACTAGTCGCGTCGGAAACGAAAGGAAGACAAAGAGCAACTTTTTGTTGGTGCTGTTTTCTATTGATTGGAATGATTGGCTTAGCACGTCCTTTCTGGAGCGTGTAGCCATTCACTCTAGCGATTTCCAGCGCCCTTCTTTGTGATTCCTTCCGTTCTTCTTCACCTGTGCACACGTTCGCTGCTGTATGGAGCATGTTACGGATAACGACCCTTTTAGCAGCGGTTGGATGTGCTGAACGAGCATTTATCAAGATGTTCTTGGAAATTTCTTAACGATAGCATTTTACATTCGCGGCGCCGTTGAACAGTCTGATCTGTTCTTGAGATAAGGAAGCCAGCCATCTTTCGGTTGTTGTCGCGTGACAAACAGCACCAACAAAAAGGTGCTCTTTGTCTTCCTTTCGTTTCCGACGCGACTAGTGCCGCATGCGACGTTGCATTAACCGCGCTAATTTGAAGGACGATGTCATTTTAACTGACATTCCAAGTGACAACATCAGGAAGCGGCTAGTACTTAAAGGCAGTGTCCGGGCAAGATGGGGGTTTTGAGATTTCTCTGCCATGTGAGACTGGCCCCCCTGAGACACAACATCGCGCAACTGCGAGCATAAAACGTTCGACCTAAAGCAAGAAAAACAATTGCAAAGTGGGGAAACTTACGCCTCGGGGCGGGGTCCTCCGAGCTGTTTGAATTCCTGCCAGACGGCAGAGTACGTATGCCGCCACAGTTAAAAACCGAGCGCTCTTTGCAACTCTGCGTCTTAGCCTGGCGGGGATCCTCAAATTTCGAAATGTAAGGGCTTGGAAAATGCATGTTCTCGCCGTTTTCGTGCTTTCTGATATGGATTTTTGGATTCAGCGTTGCGGATAACCCCAGATAAGTTGATTTTTTAAAAGTCGAGTTTCTGCCCGGACACTGCCTTTAATAGACTATATGACAACTACTGCAGGGTCCAAGGCTGCGTAGTTTGTCCATCCGGTTGGCGACTGCGGTAAAGCTGGTGTAATTTACGAGATCAAATGCATTGAATGCAGCGCCACCTATATCGGAGAGACTGGGAGACCGTTGGGTATAAGGGTAAAAGAACATCTTGCGAGCAAGAAGAAGGGAAGTCTTGCCACTCCTCTTGGTAAGCATAGGGTTGAATGTCACGGTGGTAATGACTTCAAAGTAAGATGTACTATACTGGCATACGAGTACGACACTGCTGTAAGAAAAGCTCTCGAGGCATTCTGGATTTATGCGACAAATTCAAGTATGAACAGCCGAAATGAGTGTATGTCGATTACGAATGACTTTATGGCTTTTGTGACGTTATGCGAGTTGAAGGCCACTAGTGATTAGTCCAAATATGGTGTACAATGTATTCCATTATTGATACTAGTGTCATCGAAGGACGGCCGCCCTAACATCCGCGCGCCGACGGTGGAGGAGGTCAGTTAGTCTTTCACGTTTGGGACTTTTTCTTGTGATATTCTGGGGCAAAATCGAGGCTGGTCAGGGCTGGTGGAGGATTTTGGTGGGTTAGACACATAATCGTAAATCCTCGCCCGCAAAACGTTGGAGGCGTTTTGGATTAATGCCAAAAATCCAAAATTAGATAGAAAGGAGGAATGTGTCGCCATCACGCAGGAACTCGCCTTATCAGTTCCTATGCGGATTTGAATATGAGGTCAGGCATCACGGCACATATAAAAGAGCTGAGGCATAGTCTCGTACATAGGTAGTCTTCTGACTTCCGCTCTGTGTTATCTAAGGTTAGTATTGTTCTTGTAATTCTGACGATGCTTTGCGTTAGCTTTCTCTCGAAGAGTACCTTGAGCCTTTTCTTGTCGTCTGAAGGAATGAGTTGCTTATGACTTCGACTTCCAGGCTCTGATGAAGGCGAAAGCGCCGAAACGTTAGCCGCCAAAAAAAACTGTATCAATCTTGGAGTACCGCTCACAACATCATCCACAACTATCAACAATGCCAAGATTCAAAGCGATCGAACATGGGCAATAATCGTAAATCTCCTACCATTTTAGGCCTCTGAAGAACACGACGTGTTCGAAACGTTAGGTCGCCACTAATAAAGATCTACTCACCTCGATCGGCTTACTCACCTACTAAAACACATTATACTAACAATGCCGAGGTTCAAGAAAGAGGAAACTTGGAAATTACTTTATTAGACTATTATTTCACCAAATTTATCCAGAAATTAGCCTGAGTAAACCTGCCAAACTATTAAGAAAGATTGAAAATGCTGCCATTGCAAACTTTATTGAAAGAGTTTGCAATAATCTGACATTTGCGCTTTGCATGAAAAAAAGGAAACCAGTTGGAGCGCTAGCATGTACTAGACTCCCAGGATAGCTCCCCTTAAAGAGCAGCTTCCAACTTTCAAAGGAAGGTATCTGTCTTAGCTCGGCCTTTTGGAAAGAGATAGAGTATTCTGAATCAGCTTCAAACGCAAACTCCACATATGCTATTCCTAGCTGCTGCTTATCAATCTAGCGAGTTGCTGATTTTTTTTTCTGTGCAAAATTTGCATACTCTCGACTTCCTCGCATCGCGGCATCATCATGCACCTGCTAAGCAGTTGCGTTGAACTTTTTTAGTGAGAAGATATTTATTTGATTATATTTCGATATCTCAGCACCTTTTTCTTGCAGATTTATACCTACACGCAGTCTTCCTATGCTCAGTAGTATGCCAATCCGCGCAAAAAGCCCATAACTCACTTCGGAATGGCGCCGCAGCTAAGAATAGCATAGCTGGAATTAGCGTTTAAAGCTGATTCAGAATCTATATGTTTCTATAGGTAACTTCCTTTACTAGATGATAAAAAAAGATTTTAAGGGCCGCATGCACTAACATCTCCGCGGGGAGGGGATGCAGCTTAAAAGAAAGCTTTATATTTCGAAACTCCAGATACCTGGATTTCACGTTGTGTACCTTCCGTAAGTATTCCTGCTGCCCTTCACTATGAACATGTTGAACAGAAGCGAGAAAATGTACGAACCGCATTTTCCAGCTTTTGTATGATCCCTGATGATCCCAGGCGCTTTTCTTTAAAGTCATTTTTCTTTCTCCGAAGTTAACGAAAACCTTCCAAAGTTGTACTGAACATCTAACACAACAGTGTTAAGCATGTTGCTGATAAGAACAAATGATGTTCTGGAGTCATGAAATTTTCGATGATCCACAGGTCGAAATTTGAGGTTTACCGAAAAATTCGACTTTTCAAAAACTCATTTGTTCTCATCAGCAACATGCTTAGCACCGTTGTGTTAGATGTTCAGTACAACTTTGGAAGGTTTTCGTTAACTTCGGAGAAAGAAAAATGACTTTAAAAAAAAGCGCCTGGGATCATCAGGGATCGTACAAAAGCTGGAAAATGCGGTTCGTACAGCTTCTCGCTCCTCTTCAACATGTTCATAGTGAAGGGTAGCAGGAATACTTACGGAAGGTACACAACGTGAAATCCAAGTATCTGGAGTTTCGAAATATAAAACTTTGTTTTAAGCTGCGATTCCCTCCCCAGCGGGGAGGTTAGTGCATGCGGCCCTAATACTTCTCAGCAGTCTTCAACTCTTTCTTTTTACCAGAGCACCAGATAACTCAATCTCTTGCCATACGAGGTTTTGAATTTAAATGACAGCAAGAACTTTAGATGCAAACTGCAACAATTTTGTGGCTTGGTTGCTCGAGAATAAATGGTTAAGGCTGTTTGCTTTGAAGCCGATGAGCCATGATTCATTTTCAGCTATGCCCAGATGCTAAAGAGCAGGCGACTTTGTAGTTCTATCACTAAAATCTTGAATCCAAAGTTGTGAACGCAGTTTTGCAACACATGGTAGACGAGACGTTTCCGCCACTGCTGTGTTCCAAAAGTAAAAACTGTACAAAAGCACAATTCAGATAGAGCAGAAGAAGAACTTTCAGAAGATACCTCATCAAACTAAATTTGAGATAGAAAATACTAAGAAAAAACTGGGTGAAAAATGCGAGCTAGCTTGTTATACAACTAATGAATTGTTACAGTTTCTTGTGTCATGGATTGCGCGACTTCTTCAAGGTCAGCTGCTTGTGCGCGAAGGGGTCGCAAAACGCCAGCCCTCGCGCGTTGCCCCGCCCTCTCGCTCGTATACCTATGCCGCAGCTTACGTTCAAAAAGTCACATACGTCAATATGTCTACTTGCGAGCGACTGGCCCCAAACTCGACTCCACTATCGATCGATCAAGCAGCGCCGTTTCCTTAACTCACGCAAAGACCATCACCACGCAAGGAGGACTGGCCCGTCGCTTCAAATCCGTTTGGTGCTTCTTGCTTGCCACACGGCGGGGGAGCACCACCGAGGTTTTCCTTCTAACAGCCCTTAGGTAATATCTTGGCCGGCGTGCTCTCAACCCATTGTATTGAGTTGTTTGAGTGTTGGTTGAAGTTCTGGAGAAATGGTAGGCATTTAAGATTCGTGGTGTTTCAATAGTGTAGAGTCACGAGCTTAGGACTTAGCTCCTATTCCACCTTCATACTAGCGTGTTCTTAGTCGACTTACGTCCAGTAGGATTCCATCGGAACGAAGGCGTGGCATGATCCGCGGTAGTGCCCAATTATTAATGATCCACAATTGCGACAATATGTGGAACGACTTGAGAGAGCTGGCAGTAGAGATTAAGGGGTAAGTTGGTAGCCTAGGGCCTCAAAGATGTTTATGTAGTATTTAGTGCGCCATGAGGCCTCGGGCAGAATTCACGCAAATTGATCGTCGCGATTCAATCGCTACAAGACATGTTACGAGTTCATTGCATGCCGATCTTCTCGTATTTCGGTTGTGATAGCTAGTCACGATTAGTCGCGTTGGAAAACTATCACACAAGTGCAATGCAAGAAGGTAGGCATGCAATAATACTGTTACGATTGTCTTGTCGCAATCAATCGCGAGATCAAATCATGAACTCTGCCCGAGACATAAAAGCGTGGCGCAAACTAGCTACTTTTCCCGCGTGTCGTTACTTCATCTCACGAATGGACTCAGCTCCCCTCGCCGATGCAGCAGAGCAACTTACCACTGACGCCTGGAGCTGGGGACCCTACCGCGACATTCTTGAAACAATTTCTGTGCAGTTTGTTTGTGATGTGTTTGGAACGGCTTCATTTTCGTTCACAACCCAGTAGAATCTCGCATTCAACTAGCAGTTAAAAAAACGTGATTTTTTTAAAAAATTGTTACCAAAGACTGGCCAGCTTGCGCATTGTAGCTCACGCTCACATCTATATAATGCCTTCAGTTTTTTATCACTAAAAAAGCTATGGACGCAGTAGCAAGCCTCAGTTGCCAACCTGAAAAATAGCAACGATTTCACTAACCTGCGTCTGTACCACAGAGTTGTCATTGTCGACAGCGATTCTGCCTGCGCTGGGCAAATGTGAGATATAAAGCTCAGAAATCGGCACAAATCTGGCATGATTCTTTGCGGCATGGAACAAAATTTCACCTCGGTATACGCCAGTGCCGTCTCCAATTTCCTCATCCTAAAAGCGGAAAACGAAGGTCAAGTTTTATTCACTTACGGAAACAACTGTAAGTCTTGGCTAGCTGGCACAATTGACAGCGCCTGGAGTCGATTCAATGTTTTCCTTATAACAAAAAAAATTGCAGGCCGCTAGATTCCGCGACACAATATTGGGATGTGAAGCAAGCCGGACAGATTGTGATGATGTTATCTAGCTCTATATCAAGGAAATTTTTAATTAGCCGAGCTGCGTTATAGCTGCGTTATAGTCGCGTTCATTTTGTTTGACTTGACGATGCCTCGGCTGAGGACGGCAGGGAGGGCCGTCCTGAAGCGGTTCTAATCAAAACGGCTACTCAGCACGTCTGGAAGTTGACGAATTCGTGGAGCGCATGGTCAATGATTGAAGGGCGGCGGATTTTTATTATCGTTGCAGAAGCCGCAAAGGCAGTATGTGAGTTTTGCGAAAGAAATAACCGAGACGAAATAGGAGTTGTCTCATCAATGTAGTTGCCATGTACACATTCTTGATTATTCTGGCTCTTTCTATCCCATGTATCCCATGATCTTAACAATACAAAAAGAAAGGCTTGAAAGGCATTTTGATAGCTGTGATTAGTGGCGGAGAAGTAAAATATTGCTCATGGAACTCTAAGTACACTTTTAAGAGGTTTTGTACATGCCGGTATGTGTGCTGACACCAAAGGGATTCTCTAACGATGCAATTTCATTAAAGATTCCTATGACTAGCAAGCGGCACTTTTCACAATTAAACGAAACAATGTATTAAAAAGTAATTCCTTCAAATTGTATATGGAACAGTCTCCATCAGTATAACCATGGTTCTGGCATTTCTAAAACGATGTGGGCTTTGAACTATATCAGCTGACGGAGCAGATCACGTGATGATAACAAGAACAGCTCATAGACAAAAACAAGAAAATTGCACCGAACTGAGTATGATTTTGAACGCAACAGGCAAAAAATCTGATTGAAGTCGGTGAAATCCGGAATTGTGTCCTTTAGTTTGATTTAAACGGTCTCACGCAAAGTAGCCTCTTCATTAGCGGAAGGCGTTCGGCGCTTACCCGCAGAGGATACTGAAGGTGCCGAACACTTATCCGTTTTCTACTAGGAAATCAAAAATAACAGAGCGTACTTACAAAATCAACGCCAGCAAACAGTTCGCAATGTCCTTTTAGGTAACCGATGAATTTGATTGTTCCCTCATGTGACACACCGTCAGAAATCACCGCGCAACGGTCGTCAATCCTTGCTTCTGTAGTGCTAGCAGGACCAGCAACTCTGAGTTTGATGAGGTTTGACGGAAACATCTGGGTGGCAGTCCTAATCTAACCTAGAGGTTCTCTGATACAATTTTGCGGCTTCAGCGCTTTTAATTCTTGTCAATTCATTGATTGGCATAAACCTTTGAAAATATTATCTTACTCTATTTTAGAAATGATGCTGTATGTCGTTAGGCAGTGGTGCAATACATGGTTAATGAGATCCACGCACAATTATATTATTATTCGATTAAGAGCCCTTAGAGCTGACCAAGACGCTTTTAAAGACTTATAAAAGGTACTCGCAATAAGATACACAAGTAAAACATCTCAGTAACTTCCATATCATTGACTAAATTATTCGCTTATGCGGCATGCCAAAAAAGCTAGTATCTCTTTTTACTGCCGGTCCACTGCATTCACGAAATCGAAAAAGCTATCATAAATCCTACTACAGATTCCTAAGCCTAGACCAAAAATCATTAGAAATTTCAGCCTTTTTTATCAGTCCTCTGTTAGTCTAGCACCCTCGAGTTTGAAACCGCTTGTTAATAATTCTTGAAAGGGAAGGATAGCAGGTCGCAGTGGCAAACGGAAATGATAAGCTCAAATTAGATGCGTCTTGATGAGTGGATTCCAAATCCACCTTTCTTATATATCAAGTATTCTATATTCTGGAAAAAGCTATGAGCGTTTGATAATACAAAGGTGTAGATTTAATGGGGTTCTAAGCCGCAATGGGCTTTTGTCGCGGATTCGCGACTTCCTTCAAAGGTTGCCGCCGCCGCGCTGCGAAGGGGTCCCAAGACGCCGTCCTCGCGCTGTCCCGCCTCTCACCTCTTTCACCTGCGCAGCGTTTAAATAAGTCACGTAGTCATTCTTCACTGCTGTCGCATTCGTGAGCGGTCGAGTTCCAATTCGTCTCATGCCATCGATCGATCCAGCGCCATCCCATCTAACGCATCACTTCCATCTACGCCACGGGGGACTGGCTCCCGCGCTACGAGGTAGCCCCGAGCGCGCTCGCGCCTGCTCGCCGGCGACACCGCCTCGGGGGGTTTCCGATATTGCCGGCCCCTCGGATAACATCTGGCTGGTAGTGCTCATCCTGTATGTTTGAGTATAGAGATAAGTTGCGGATAAATGGTGGGCATTTTACAATGTGTGATTTGTGTGGAGCGGTGGGCCACAGCTCGGCTGTGGCTCCGGAAATATTCCATGTCATCATTATCATTGTGTGTTTATAAGCATGCCTAGTCCAATCCATCTGTCAAAGGCTGGCAGAATTCTAGGTAGTGCCTTGGTTATAATTACCGCGCCCCAACTGTCAGTGGTTGGGAGGATGGTCGAGTCGCAGGTGTCAAGTAACTGCTAAGTAGGCTGGTGGCAAGGGCCCCTACGTGTGTATGGAGTACCCATGTGGCAGGCACAATTAGCGTTCACACAGGTAGCCACCTCACATGATATGGTTCACTCTTTTCACGGAGCGGACCCCTGGCTCCCCTCGCCGATGCAGGAGAGCCGTAACACCAATGACGTTGGGAGCTGGGGGCCCAATCCGCGACAGCTTTGAAAGCAAGCTTGAGAATGGCCAATTGGTATGATCTGAGCGCATTGACTACAAGGAATACATACTTATACGGAACACATATACTATGTTTGAACCCAAAGTTCTTGAAGATGTGGCACTGAATATTTGCCAAATTTGCACATTCAAATGCTCATAACCTCTTTTAGAGAACAGCTTTGCAAATACAGAAGCTAGATTTGAAATTAGCTCATCAAGGCGCATCTAATGATATACATATCGGTTTGGGTTCGCCACTGCGATCTGGTATCTTCCCTTGTTGCACGCAGCATTCAATAACAACCACTATCTTTATCTTAAATGGTAGGTGTTATTAATGCGTGAGGTAGAAATCAAAAGAGAAGTGAGGAGTATGATTATTCGCTGAAAGACAATATGAAGTAGAAAAATGAAGAGAAACGAAACAAGAACAAACAAAAAAGCAGAAAATGGAACAGAGATAACGATAACAAATTTACAAAACAAAGTTACGATAGGAAGGAGGACGACCAGAAAGAGAACAGCATTTTGCCAGGGGTTTCGTGAAGAGCATTTTGACCAGGTAATCTATTGAAATCCACCAATACTCTAAGGGTAAAGAATTCCGAACGAAGGAGAATCTTGGCTAAGGAAGCTCTCATTTGCGCAAAGATGCTCTCGTTCAGCAGGGCAAAATGGCGAAAAAATCCGACAAATTAATCCCGCAGCCACGTTTAGGATTTTGCATGCATGAAGATATCAAATTTTATCCTTATAGAAGCTAGAAACTAGGTAAATTCATAATTTTTCTACGTTCCTCACTTCTAGAAGAATTGGAATAGTTTGAACTTATTGTTCTTACAATCAGAAACAATTTTTTTCCCAAAATCACTTTGGACATCTTCGAGGGTGTTTACATCTTCCAAATTCAACGATAGGGTGAACATACATCTTCTAAGCTTTGATTAAAACTTCAGTGTTTAGAGTTCGCATGGTCTTGATTGGGCTATAGGTCTAGAAAAGTGCTTTGCAATGCTGTTGTAATGGGCGGTACACTGAAGTTTACTGGAGAAAGTAAAGCCCAAATTTACTTTATTATGCGAGTGAAATCATACCCATTGATATAGAGGAAGACCTGAGCTCTTATCTCCTAAGAAATAACATTGGTTTCAGTGGAGCTAGAGGTAACTACTGCATGACGAAGGAGCAGAAGCAGTATTAGTAAAGCAGGCGCCAACACGGCGCGCACGTATCCTCACCGTTGTAAATCCTGCGCTTCTTGCGCACATGACATAACTAACGCCGCTGCTCTCAGTAAGTTCGCGTAAGTCAAAAGAAATGAGAAACAAGAGGGGGATAAGACTCCACCCTGAGGTATTCCCCTAGAAATAAAGCATTTTTGAGTGGTTACTACAAACCCGAATTTGGGAAGTACGATTGACTGAAAAGTTTTCAATCCATGCACGTTCAAACCATGAACTCCAACAATCCTGGGTGTGGACAACAGTTTGAAAGTAGAGCCTTTTCGAATGGTTGAGAAAAGTCAAAGAATACGAGTCTGTTAGATCGGGGCCAGGACCGACGCTTACCAGCTTGTAAGGTGAATTAGGCTAACTACTAGGCCACCAGACGAATTTCTGCACTCAGTAAGGACGTCGAAAACCAGCAGTGCTACTTCAAAGAAATGCAGAGATACGCATCGGCATCGAACTCTATCCTCACTAGTTTGCGAACCAGTTGTCATTAATGGCATGTTCCAACAGAATATTGCAAAATTTTGAAACTCTGTCACAGATAAGCAAGTGCCTTATTTACAGCAACCACTTGACTTTGACTTGACATAATCACAAATTTTGGCTGCTGTGTGTGAGGAACGTAATGCTGTGTGACAGATTTGTTCACAATGTGAATGAATCAGTTTGATCTGCAAATAAGAAATTACGTACCAGAGCCTTCCTCTCCGCCACTTTTTTGCAATCTTTGAAACAGTTCCAATACTAAAAATTTCTCAAACTTTCCGATATAATACTGACTAATCAGTCACTGTCATTGTCAATCTCTCATTGAGAAGCAGGAATGAAGGATTTTACTTGGATTGACATCAAGGAAACGTAATTTGCAAACTGAGAAACGTCTTAAGAATTCGCAAGTGCCTGCTCAAGCCGTGCTTTGACAGTAAGCGTGCTTATCCACTTTGAACATCCTATCGGATTATACATCTAACTAACAAAAGCCTCATCAGTTCCATTACAGGAGTACATCATAATTTAGGTCAAGCACAACTGGCCAACAGTTGTTCCTAAAAAGTTTTCTAACTTGTTTTCGATGGCCTACAACACTTTTGAACAATTTGAAAAAGTCTAAAAAGTGTGTTCGGAGTTTGAAAATGCTAACGTTTTGTTACTCTAGGTACAGATGCTATAATGGATGTAGTGAACGGAACACAGGTTCAATGGTCTAGACGGGTATAAACAGGGCCCGGCACGAGGTGACCAGCTGAAAATGCAAAAAACGAAGTCCCCCTTAACTTTTGGGAATTTTTACGAAGTACCCTTTAACCCTCAACCATATTTCCTCTAAAAACCTAAAAAAATCTCCAAAAAACGAAACGTCGGCTAAAAAAACCTCGCTAATTTTGCGATGTCTTCGGCCACAAAAACGAAACCCCCTTTGCTTTTTGTCCCAAAAACGATATCCACCTTGCTTGTAAGCCACCTGTGCCGAGCCCTGGGTATAAATACTGAGCTGATGAGCCAAAGGCCGAACACTCGAGTCTGTCGACTGTGTGTCTCCTTATCCACAGAGGCGATATTCCACGTTTGCAAAGACCTACATGACATTTGATGCAGCAAGACGCTGAGACAAAACCTGCACAAATTCGGACCAAAATCAAATCATTAGACATATGAGTGGATATTTGTCCCAGTATTGGGTCAAAACTTATAATCTTGTCTTTACCTTGTCTTCATAAAGTTTACGCTAAAAACTGACACGAAATGCAAATACAGGAAACTGCACTTTCCATAAACCATTCCTTTGCAATAAAACTGCTTAAAACTTCTCCCACAGGACATTCGTCAGACAAGAGAGGCAAAGCACAACCTAACCCTACAGAATGAATAGGCAAACTAGAGAGTCTGTTGAGATACTGCCTTCATGGTATGAATGCCATCTATGTGACTGAACCATGTAAAAATTTGCTTCTCGTGAAGAGAGGACATTCAACGCCTATAACCTTCAATCAAGCATACTAACACTCGTAAATCATTATCTCTGTAGTAGAAAGATCAGTAGAGCATAGTTACACTTTGACCACCGGATATGACACTAGTATATGTGGCTGCATGAGCGCTATCACTCTGAGAAAGGATAAGAAGAGAAAAATTTAGAACAATGGGAATCAAAAAGAAAATGAAAGCTGTTAAAGCACTCATGTTCATCCACTATACACTAGCACTTTTTTTATCAACTCATAAATGCGCATATGAAAGTTTTTTGGGGAAAAGTATTTGAAAGTTGTCATTAAATGGCGTGTGAAAACAGTAAATAAAACGACTGACTCATCTTATCATCTTTAATCAGGCAATTCTTATCTATTCGCAATTGCCCAGCAGATTTTAACGAAAACAAGGGTGAGAAGCACTGTTAAGGCAGATAGGAGAAGTCATTCTATTGCGGCCTGTCAATGTTTTATAGTTATGTTTTTTCTCTTGCAATGACAGCAAGTGCTTACTCATATAAAATGGGTCAAAAATTTTCGTTGGGCAAGGAACGTATTATTCATAGAACATGCTGTTTAATTCAAATGGTAAGCCTCTGATAGCCATCTAGTTGCATTATCAATATTGAATACGATAGCAGTATAAAGCGTTTGAAGCAAGAGAACTTTCTTAGGACCTCATGGTCACGCTCTAGGCTCTTCACCTTTATTCCGTGGCGCCACAAACCTTTTGTACTTATTCCAATTGGCACATATGGTTTCTAGGACCGGCCATACATTAAGTGCGACGAGACTAATCGCAACTATCACAATCGAGATGCAAGATGTTTAACATGCAGTGAACACATAACGGTTGTCTTGTTGTGAATCGCGAGGTGATGAAATCGCACGATGTATTTCCGGCCTTTCGACATCAGAAAAAAATGAAAAAAATGTAAAAACGAAAAAAAATCAGTCGCAGAAGCAGTAAAAAGGGGAAACGATATGAAATAAACAAAATGACTCATTGAAAATTTGTGCGCACTAAACATTCGTCTCTGCTTCTATTCAAGAAAAAACTAATTGTTAGGGTTCACTGAATTTGAGAGTCTAACTATTAGATCTTATATATAAAGCTGAATGTCTGTCTGTATGTCTGTATGTACGTATGTGCGGAATAGAAGTTTTTATTTCTGAACCGATTTGGACCAAACTTGGCACACATTACTTCGGGGCGGGGAGCGTGTCATAGGCTACTTTTCGTCATCGATCGATATCGATTTTATCGATTTTTTTGCAAAAGTTGAGCTACGGGGTTGGGAGTTGGCACAGGGGGATAATCGAGCATGCTGATTACAAATATGTTATTGAAAGGGCCGGGCGGAGCCGGGGCCAACTAGTTGAATATAAGTTCGTTTTGCCATGCAATTTTTCATAGAAAATCTTCCTATTGTATTCTAACCATGATTTTTTTGGGAAAGTAGTTCAAAGCTTCCTCTACCACATATCAGATACTTAGGGTTTTATCGGTTAAGACGGTTATGCCTCAACATGGCTAAACTTTCGAATGCTAACTTGACTTCCTAAGCTTCGTTTTCATGCTGTAATGAATGTAGAGCAGCAGTCCGGTATTTCAATACAGATAAGTTTTTCCTATTTAGTGAATAACAATGAACATTGTGGTCTGCCATTGGAAATCTTTTATCAGGAAAACCTTTCCGCATATATGCGCACTATGAGAAAATTGTGGCTTCTCACTTCTTTGCATATACTGATAAGTTCTACTCAAAATCTATCTCAAACAAAACTCATACTCCAATTCCCATTGAAGGGCTCTTGCCAGAGATAACAAAGACCGGAAAAAAATTCGTCTGCAGCATTTGTAACAGCCGCAAGCGACGGAATTTGTTTATTAACCAACCTAACATATCAGAGCTCGTTTCTTCCGGCAGTCTCTGGAGAGGCCCCAGAGGTCGCGAAGTCGACTCCTTGCTATGAAGTTGGGAATGACTTGGTGGTCTTAGCAGCGGTGTAAGAAGTGATATATTTTGTGTGTATGTCGAGCATACGATCAAGATGGCATCTTCTTCTTATTAACTTCGGCTAACGTTTCGGTACCTTCGTCAGAGCCAAGAAAGTCGAATACATAAGGATTTCGTTTCTCAGACGTAGGTAAAGAAGTAATAACTAAAGTGGAAAAGAATGAAAGAACCAGAGCTACGATAAGCAATACTTACCTTAGTCGTTGAATAGGAAGTACGAGGGACCACCAGTTATGCAAGAACTATACTGCTGACCTATTTATGGTACCGAGGTGACCTGACCTAGCCTAAAAATTCGCAAAGGGTTATGGCGCAATTTCGTTCTTATTACCATATAGTCCTCCTTAGACCCCAAACAGACTTCACGCGACTTGATCGTCACGACTGAATCGCGACAAGACAACTGTTACAACATCATTCCATGCCGATCGACTGCATTTCGGTTGTGATACTTTTCCAGCCCTAAATTTTTGAACGTGAAACGAAAATGAATGGAAATGTCGGCGATTGAGTCGCGACGATCAAATCGCGTGAAGTCTGTCCGAAGCCTTACGGTTTATATTTGGATTCTTAGCGCTGAGCCAGAACGCTTCCAACGTTTTGATTTCAGGTTTGTAGCACCAACTTGCATTTCAGCACTTTCATGTCGGTAAGCGATGACCGCCGAGCGATGTACTGGCTTTTGATTTGTCTAGTCCATCTAGGTCTTTTCTAAACGCAGCAGCGACTCGATAATCGCCGGGGGCGGGCGGCCACGCGATTTATGGGCGGGCGGGCACAGGAAAAATAGTTCGCTGATTTCTTGCGGTCCGCTTGCAGAAATTTGGAAGAATGCTGGCGAAATTCTAGACGAATGCATGGAGAGCAATCGCGGTTTTCGTATAGATTAGCTGCGGCGCAATGGCCGCATTCTCGCGGACTTTCCGCAAGAATATGCAAAATTTTCGAGGGCCGCACGGTCCTTTGTGGAGGACCACGCAGCCCCCAGGTACTTTCCGCTGAGAGAAAGTACCAACTTGAGTAATTAAACCAACGGTGACACCTCTGCCACACAGAGTCTTACCTGTGCTCGGCGTATGCCTGAAACTGCTTGAAAAGTGTCCGAGCGCTTGCTAGAAGTTTGGCCAGCGCTCGCTGAAAGAAATCATTTTCCGAGCGCCTGCAGAAAATGCTGTATTGCTGCCCGCTGGCAGAACATTAGACAGTAAAGGAAGTGCCGCCACTCAGACAATCGCCGGGGGCAGGCGGGCACCGGAAAAATAGATTGCTGATCTCTCGCACCCCGCTCGCAAATTTTTTGGAAAGCAATGAGGACTCGGAAGACCGCTTGCTGAGTTCTCGATTTCTCAGAGATTCAGCATTATATCTGCAAAAGATAAGAGCGAAAAAAATTCAACAGGCGGTCTCTCAAAAATCCGCTGACTCAGCAAGCGGTCTTCCGAAAAGTCCTGATTGCTTTGCAAAAAATCCGCAAGCGGGGTGCGAGAGATCAGCAATCTATTTTTCCGGTGCCCGCCTGCCCCCAGCGATTGTCTGAGCAGCTGAAGGTTTGGCCACCGCCTGCCCCGGCGATTATCTGAGGAGCGCACACAGTTTCTTCAATGTACGTGTCGTCACCATATGACAAACATGCGGTGATGTATTACCCTAAAATCCGGCATATAAGATCGCCTCGCAGTAAAGACCGCCTCGCCGATAAGACCGCAAAAGAGCTCTCAGTTAAGTCCGCTTTCGTGACAGCCTCGCGCGCCTCGCGCGCCGCCAAGTCCCGCGGATAAGTCCGCCTTATTTTTTTCACATGAAAACAAGAAGGATGCGCAATTGCGCTGCCTTTTTTGGTCTCAGAATGAACCGAAGCAACAGATCTTTATTCAGGTAGCATTCCATGTTCATCATCATCAAAATCAAAAGAACGATCATCATCAGCGTTATCATCAGCAACAACCAAAGCGTCGAAATCCTCTTTCATGGCATTGATCATTGATTCGTCATCGAGAGCCCTGGTAAAACTGTTCGCAATGGTCTCTTCAGTAATCGCATTGAAACTCTCGTAGACTAGTGCTGCTACTTCGCCGTAGGTCATCCTTTTCCTGGCGCCGCCTGTTGTGTCTCGTGCTGAATCGGCCATCCATCGCTCCCATCCCGCCCTCAGATTGTCTTTGAAGGGCTTGCTGATGCCGACGTCGAGAGGCTGTAGATATTTGGTCATTCCGCCTGGAATGACCGCGATCTTTGACTGCTCCTTGAAAAGCTCTCGGACGTCTTCTGTGAGATGGCACCTTAAAAAAGCAAGATAAGCTCAAAAATGGTAAAGTACGAAACGATACCTTGCAGAATCCAATATCAGCAATGACTGGGAGGGATCGTTGACATAGCGTTTCCTTTTGTTCTACACCTCGAGGAGCCATGTCTTCATCAGTTCGTGATTCATCCAGCCTCTTTCGTTGACACGCACAATCACTTCAGGAGGGAAGTTATCCTTTGGAACCCTCTTTTTCTTGAATATTATCATCGGTCTTAATTTCTCTCCAGCGGCCGTCGCAGAGAGGACGACGGTAAAATTCGACTTTTCATGTCCTGTTGAGTCTCCTACTTGATCCACGGTCCTTGAATAAACCATATCGAAGGGCACTGGGACTTCATCGACATTCCCAAGATTGTGGGGAGAGATGTAAAGCGATTCCCTTAGTACGAATCTCCTGAAGTCCGCGCAGATGTCCTCGCAATCCTCCGGAAGTGCTTGACCGACACTGGTTCTTCGTCTTAGAGATAGGTTCTTTCTCTTCATGAAGCGTCTGCACCACATCGGCGATGCCTTGAAGTCCTGGTGGCCAAATTCCCGCGCTAGCTGCAATGCCTTCTTGCGAATGTTCTTGACAAGAAGTGTTCGGCTTCCTTCTCGCACAATCCATTCATGGAGAGCTTCTTCGACTTCCTCCACTTTTGGCTTCCCATAGCGGTTGGCACGTTGCCTCAGTGGCCTATCCTCTAAATTTTCTTTATCGGCCTTCCATCTTCTAACCAGACGATCAGAGACTTCGTAGCGAACAGCGGCAGCCAATGTTCCATGTTGCAGGGCATATTCCACCACGTTAAGCTTGAAAAGCGACGTGTAGGACTTCCTTCTGGGAGCCATTGAGATCCGAGATACCTGAACAGCTTGAGTCACAGCGTGTGAGAGTATGATGGAAATATAGGGCTCTGCGTGATTGCGAACTTCGCTGAGTTAGCGGTCATTGCTTACTGAAATCACGCGGAGTCCTATAAATTTGTGCTGATCATCGAAAGGTTTACTCTTTTACAAGAAAAAGCAGGCGGCGTCAAATTTGACTACACTATCTTTTGTCTTGGATGTACAGGCTTAATGAAACAACAGATGAGAAAAAGAACAAGGAAGCCTAATGCTTTGCTAAGGTTGAGCATTCTCAGGCTGTCACTCTTCCGTTCAAGAAAGCATTTGACAAAAGCCGTATGGCATGGGTCAACAGAGACTACGTTCAGAACATGAAAACAATAGAGGAAGCAAAAAGTATAGGAGTCAGGTTCAAGGGTTGTAGCCTGTACGGGTTCGAGAGATGTATTAAAAACATTGTAGCTTCCAAAACGATAAGATGAATGATAAGATGAGATGATTGCAATGATATAATGAGAAAACCTATTATGATTTTTCGGACAGAAAAATTCCATGTGTACAAGCACTGTCTTATATAGGAAAAGAACCCACCAGCGTATGTGATGACCAATCCGCGACGAAACTGTCAGCAATTAGACTGCACGACTTGTCGAATCCTTTGGCTGTCTCTTTTAGGGGAATTCACGGCTTGATTCCAATCGCTGAAACATGTGATATCCAGAACAACTTCTCTGTAGCGTTTTGCAAAACTACGAACCGTTTGTGTCTTTGTACTTCGTCACTTACTGCTTGGAACAGAGTATGCGCGACGATCAGCGTTCTAAAAAAGCTTTGTAGGAGATGCATGTACTGTAGTTAGCCTATATCATAAACCTCCCCTGCCTAATATTCCTGAAAATGGGGTAAAATCCTACCTTACTATCGCGTCATCAATTCCAACACACAAGAAATGTTATATCTAATAAAAGAACTCACCTATCCAGCGTATATGATGACAAATCCTCGGCGAAACTGTCAGCAACTAGTCTGCACAGCTTGTCGAATACTTTGGCTCTTCCTTTCAGGCGATTTCGCGGCCTTGTTTAAATCTACACCGGCAAGCTACGCGGGCGGTCGCGCGCGTTTGTGCTCCTAGGTCGCGCTTGCTCATGCTCAGGACAGACGGACGTATCTGCGAGAGGATTTAGGCGGACTTATCTGTGAGACCTTTTGCGGCGTTTTTCCATCGATTTTCCTGCCAAAACTGCAGATAAGTCCGTTCTTATATGCCGGATTTTAGGGTAGGTTGTTGCTAAGTTTCGCAACTGAGTCCATAACTTTTCGCTTTTTGATATTGACGCGAAACTTTGACATTGTATAGACAGCCATGTGAGATATGAACTGGCAGAAACCGCCCGCCCTTTGATGAAGTAGAAGAAATTCGAGTTTTTCGAAAACTGATGAAATTTGAGGACTCACAAAGTTTTGAGCGAAAGTGAAGCCGTTCTCAGAAGCATCGTTCACCCAGATTTTCGACTTCCATGTTTTTGTCGTTTCGGGCCTTCTCGAGTCATTGATTCCGAATATGAAGTCGAGAGTTCGCGAAACCTCCACAATTTCCGTTTAGGAGAGCCCGCGGAGTTGTCAGGGTGAACGGTGATTGGTTGGGCAGGCACGGATGGGCGGGCATTACTCGGAAGGGGCGTGCCGACTTGGGATCCTCGTGTCTCTCCTTTATTCCGGAGCATTATTCTCGTTTCCAAAGCGACATTTTCAGCCGCGACTTGGGATTGGCTTGATAGGAGGCCCTACTATCGTATGATGTCAGAAGCTCAAAACCCCTAATTTAGGGTGGAAGGTGCCTCGAATCTAGATCATGCACAAAAATCCAAAACTGTGCATAAATTATCGCTAAAGGTTGACTCATCTAGCCCAGTAAGGAAGAAGTGGGATTCGAAGAAACTCAAGATTTGTTGCCCTCACAAAGTTGAACAAGCCGCTGTATGCAAATGTGCTTGGGGGCAAGCGTCAATCACTAAGGAATCAAAGTCTCAGAATTCGCCAAAACTTTGCATGGAGGGATGGTTGCCCTACCGAATACGAATATCATACTCATTCATCAAATTGACGCCTCTTTTCTTGTTTATCGTAAGACCCCATACCATGAACCCCACGGTAACCTTAAAAAACTCCTTCCATGCGAAACTAATATCGTTTTTGATTAGCATGTCAGATACCCACCTACGCAAAAAATTCAGCCAAATTTGTAGTAACCTATATCTTCTCCTTTACAACATATATCTACCGTAACCCTAACTGCTACATCAGAATTTCGTAAAACTGTGACTGCGCTTGTAGCTTACGTCACGATTCATGATGGGGAATTATGAGTGCGTTGCATGCTAACAGAAAGACGTAAAAGTGCCTGATATATCACGCCTGCCATTATGCAGTCCCACTCTTTACCAACTACACGGTTTAGAGTCAGCAACTCCAATCATACGCTTATACGCTTAATCCTAATCAATTGCCTATTCAAGTTGCGCGGTGAAAAAGCCCCGGCACAGATGGTCTGGGGTCAAACTGGACTTCGTTTTGAGGTAGAAGCAATGGGATATCCTTTTTCTAAGGTCCTGGGAGGAGCCCCGGAAAAATCGACAGACACCTCAGGTTCTACGAGTTGAACGTCAAAGGCAAAATTCAAGCAAACAAATGGCTTGTTTATATAGCCCATACAATCACGTGGCACCGAATAGGCTATCATCATACTCTTTAATAAAGCGCAGGCACCCCCATCTGACGTCAATGTCGGTCTGTTCGTGCCACTTTCGAGTTTGTTTACCACTATGCTCCATGTACCCCCCCCCCCTCGACCCCGGGTACTTGCACTTTAGCACTGCCCTTTTTTGTGCGTGCCACTTTCGAGTTTGTTTACCACTATGCTCCATGTACCCCCCCCCCCTCGACCCCGGGTACTTGCACTTTAGCACTGCCCTTTTTTGTACAAGTGATCTTTGCCATCAAACTGTCTGTCTTCGGTTCTGTTTACTTCGTCATGCAGCCACCAAGAGCAGCGAAAAGTCATCACAACTCTGTAAGCGGTGAGATCTATAGTCTCATCTCCGCTCTACAGTAATTTCCGCTACAGTTTCTTTTTTCTCTAGAACTATATTCCCACCGAGAGCAGAGAGCAGGTGAGAATTCATCAGAACTACATCTCTCGCATCGTTTGCTCCGAACATAGCTATCAATTCCTACCACCCCAACATCTCCTATCCAGATTTTCTAGAAGATTTCCAGATTTTTTTTCGACTTCCTCTTTCCGAACAGTTTGCTTTCTATACCACTCCGAGCTCGCAATTAGCAAAAAGTGAAAGCGCCTTAATAGAACATGATAGTGGGCAAAATCTTTGTTATAAAGCTATTGCTTCCTTGAAACAATATAGGTTTTGTAATTTTCATGAACGCCAAAGCAGATTACAAACATTAACGCCAGACGTCATGTAGCCTAAGCTTTTTGCAAAAAGGGGGTTCCGAATAAAGCGTTTTTTCATCAGGTATCTTACGATTTGTCCGCATTGCATGTGTTAAATGCGTATGCTCAGAAATATACCCATTATGTTACAAATATTTGACATGAGAAAAAATCGAGCAGCTATATGCTTTGGTACTCGAACTATCTCCTGAAATCAGGCTAGGTTTATGTGTGCAATACCACTTCTAATGTTGATGCAATCGGGTTGAAGTTGGCTGCAATTGCTTACGTAAAACTTCAGAAAAACTAGCGCTGAAATATATCAGAAAAGCTTAGAATATGAATTCGACGTCAGGGTTTTGAGAGTAAACTTGAATGCATACCATAGAATAAAAAAAGTTTTTTCTCGGCATGCGCTAATCTGTCCATGAATTTCTAACTGTGAATGGTTACGACAAATTATGGATTGTTAAATTAGCATTGATTTTTCGAAGCAACCATGAGAATATAGGAAAAATCCTTACATCGCACGATTCTCTCATGCAATATACAGCACGTTATAGGGTCCTTTGGTTGCAGTCCTTTGGCGTGTCTGGGCTGTTTGATATTGAAAAAAAAAATTCCCCGCGCATTATACGCTTGAAGTTAGGGTATATCTATGGGAATGCCAAACGTATCCCGAATATTCGTTTATATCGATAAGAAATATGATGTAGGCACTCCACCGAGTTAACTGGAGCAGCAGTGAATAATAGCTGAGCTGAGCCGGACAATCAAAAAGCTATATGAGCACACTTTATTTTGAGAATTTAGTAGTTGAG